CATACACATAATATATTATTAAATAAGTCCTCAGCTAAGGAGGGAATCACGACCATACAACATACATGTAAATAAGATCCCGATTTTGATCTCATTAGGTACGTTTCGGAACATTCATGAGTCGCAAAATATAAATTTCCCTCAGATTAGTCGGAAATCGAAGCGTTTCTAAGGAAAATATTCAAGCACGGCTCTCATTTCCTTTAATTTTATACGTAGGTATAATTAATTTACTTTCGATATTCATTTTCCTTTAATTTCGTCCACTTATGAGTTTTATATTACTAAGAAATGGGAGAAACAGGATACTACCCGAATATTTGGCAGAAGGACTGACAGAGGAACATGCTTGTTTTATATTTAAACTACATTATGTATTATTGTTCCCTAGCGTACTACACGTGCCTCAAAGAGCCGTCAGACCACCATGGATGGGGCCAAAAGAGCTGATACGGAACCGCGGAGAACGTAAAAGGTTATCGGAGCTCCGGCTCTACGTGCAGGAGAAGGAACGGGGTGGTTTTTAGTCAGTAAGAGTCTGACACTCCCTCCCGCCTCATCGGGGTGGGAGAAGCTATTCAAAGAGTTTCGCCCCTTAAAAAAATTTAGGTATTGTTAGTTAGGTATTAAATTATTATGTCATTATATCAGTTAAATCGTCTGAATAGGTTGTCAGAGGCCAAAAATACCCAGTAAACACAAATCGCAGTTTGAAAGGCTCAGGTTAATCTTTGGGAGAGAACTCCAAACTGTTGTCTATGACGCTACTCTGTGAGACATACTAAATTATTATACTTATCCACGTAACTGTTTCACGAGGAACTCGACTAGTTTCAAGTCATGCTAGAGGCTCATATTCATAAGCAGTATACCGCGACACGCGACGCGGCGACTGTCATTCAGTAGCATGACTGTCAACACTTTCTTTAATGTGTAACCTAGGGTTGTTGACAAATTGGCGACGGCGACCTCTCGCGTCCGGCTCTGGTTCAGACCATGGTACGGAGCGAGGGGGACTGGGATGCCGTCTTCTCCTTTTGCGAAGCAGTTATGCTAGCTAAGGAGGAGGCGGAGCGCGTGAGGGAACGAACCTCCTCACGCCCCGGCCGTCGCGAGAGACACTCCGGGCGTCGGGGATCGCGAGACGATCTCCGGCCACCGTAAGCATGGGCCTGCGGACGGCGAGCACGGGTGACTCGCCGCCCGACCAGAACCAGGCCCGAGCGTACGGCGCGTCGCGTTCCGCGCGCGCCTCAAAGAGCCATCAGACCACCACGGATGGGGCCCAACAGGGCTAATGCCGATACGGAGCCGCCGAAGACTTAACGGGTTGCCGGGGCTCCGGCTCGAAGTGCAGGAGTAGGAACGGGGTGGTTTTTAGTCAGTAAGAGTCTGACACTCCCTCTCGCCTCACCCGGGCGGGAGAAGTCATTGGATGATTTTCCACCCTCAAAAAAAAAAAAAGGGTTGTTGACAAAAATTATCTGTCATCGCCACATATGATAGATGATAGAATTAACTAAAAAGACCTAGAAACAACTAAAGCTCTCTGCATCACCCAAAGATCTGGTTGGAGGAGAATGCCCTAGGCATTAAGCCCACCTTGTACATTAGAGTGTGCATGAAGTCATTAAAAAAAAGGTTCTCTAATTACAACAAAGACCCAACCTTGTATAAAAAGTAAAACCGCACAACGAAGGAATTAAAATGATTTGTCGGCACCTTCTAAAGCTAGAACAAAAGGGCTTCCTGTATTTTCTTCAGACAATAGGCTACAATTAGAGGTGAAAGGCTTAGAAATTTATGGTAGACGGTGACTAAGTATTTTATTTCTATGGTATTTTAAGTAACCTTATTTACGAGGTATGTGTTAATAAATCTATAGTTTACATTCGTAGGTACTATGTATAGGCTTCAGAACGAATAGGCCGCCTCGATCGAAGTGATACCACGGCCTCACAGAAAACCGACGTGAAGCAACGCTTACGTTGTATTTCGTTATGTGAGTGAGTTTAACGGAGGCCCGATTACCCCCTTCCTTCCGAATGTCCCCAATCCCTGAATTCCCAACAATCCTCAAATTCCTAATCCCGGAAAGTTCGGTAACACACTTACAACGCCTCTAATGTTCAAAGTGTCTATGGGCGACGTTGATTACTGACGCTGATTACCATCAGGTGATCCGTCTGTTCATTTTCCGGCTTATAGTATCCTATAAAAGAAATCTTTAAAATAAGTACTTCACTACTCATTAAATACTCACACAAAGAGAAACTTATTGTTAACTAAAATCGCGGGTAACTCACGAGAATATACTGAGAAAAGCTCTACTAATTTCGAACCACAGGGGGTTCTTTCTCATGAGCAGCGTGCGCGGTCTCGACGACGTCGCGGAGCTCATTCGGTACTAGTAGAGCTTTCCTCAGTATATTCACGTGTGTAACCCGCGATTTTAGTTAATTTAGTATGTCTCATGATAGTTGTTATAAAAACAGAAACTTATTGTATTGGAACGACAAACATAATTTGATTTCGTTAGAAGTTATATTAATTTCCTTATTTATTTTGTTGAAATGAATCAATTAAGCGTATGGGTGCACTCGTTTATTTGATTTGTTACGTATATACAGAAAGTTCCTCATTATTTGATATGATTCTATAATTAGAATTACGCCTTCACAACGAATTATGTGCTTAGATGCCTTGATGAATTATTTCTAATGGGTACTCCACGCGGTTTCACCCGCTCTGCTCGGCGCTTATTGATCCTAGCGTGATGTTCATAGCCTATTTTTTTTTAAGTTGGGAAAATCATCGAATGACTGCTCCCGCCTGGGTGAGGCGGGAGGGAGTGTCAGACTCCTACCGACTAAAAACCACCCCGTTCCTTCTTCTGCACGTCGAGCCGGAGCTCCGGTTACCCGTTAGGTTCTCCCCGACTATGTTTGTAACCTATAACCTCTATATAGTTTACTGATCCTCAATAAATAGACTATCCAACACAAAAGAATTGTTCAAATCCGACCAAGAGTTCCTGAGATTAGCGCAATGAATCAAACAAACCTTTCAGCTTTATATAATACATAGTATAAGATTAAGCAACATAAAGAACTTTAATAAAACGATAGTTTCTTTTGTCAGCCCATAAAAATACTAATAAAGATAGTTTTACTATATCCCATCAACCATATAATAAACCAACAAATCTTTTATAGATAGATTTAACTAAAAAAAAATGCTGATCTGAAACAACTGCAAATATTAAGGGCATAAAAGTTATACTGTTTTGTATCCTAACGTCATAACTATAAGGTTTAGAGTCCCGCCTGTTACACACATAAAAATGTATATTAAATCTACCAAACAGTATTGTGAACAGCACGTCAAGATAACCCAATTCTGTTCAATGGATTTTGGACTTTATTATCAAAGACTAAACATATTTTTCTGACATGATAAAAGTTCTATAAACAGAAAACAAATATACAAGGCATCATTAAGACGTAGATAACTTAAAAATACTTAAAAAAATAACAACAACAAGTGTGGGAGAGCCACGCTTCGACACGGATGGGCCGGCTCGACCGGAGTGATACCACGGCCTTACATAAAACCGACGTGAAACAACGCTTGCGTTGTGTTTCGTCGTGTGAGTGAGGTAACCGGAAGCCCAATTGCCCACCGTCCCCAATCTTCCCAATCCCTGAATCTCCAACGAACCTCAAATTCCTAATCCCGAAAAGGCCGGTAAAGTAGTTGTAACGCCTCTATTGTTTTGGGTGTCCATGGGCGGTGTCGATTGCTTATCATCAGATCGCGTCTGCTCGCTTAAAGGCTTGTTCCATAAAAGAAATACGAAATTAACAGACAAAATAATATTTGCGTTTTTATTTACAAAAACATTCTATCCTAACTCAAGATGTAAATTAGCTAACAAGAATTTTACGTTTCATCCAGCAATATAATTCGCATTTGTAACTTAATATTTTACCAAATAAATTCATCTGCTCTCAACACCAGGACAACATGAGCTCAAGCTATACTTTCCCAGTATAAAATGAGCTCTCACCATACCGAACTTACACAAATAGAAAGATCAGGGTGTATTGGACAAGTACAGTTACAAGCAGATATGAATTTTATGCAGACGACTGCAGGCCAACGTACTCCATTCTGCCAAATTCCTTTATTCCGTTTTCAACTTTATTATTTCAATATGAAGTCTAAAATCTAATGACCAAATTGTTAGGAGTAACTTGTACGTTAATCCTACAAAACAGGAGAGCATTTCAAACATTGTTCGCTCGAATTGCAGTTTTAATCCATGCGGTATAGAGTCAAGTTTCGAATTAAAGCCATCTTTAACTAAGCTTTTGAGGGTACCAAACACAAAGGGTTTAATGTTTCTCACTTCCAACGTAGAACTCAAATCTCCTTTGAATCTAAAGGTCTTGAGAATCTGTTAAGAGCCTTTGAAATTTAATCCAGAACAGAATCTGTGCCAAAATGTAAATAAGGAAGCTTCCAAATTGATTAACTTTTTTGAGTGACGTTTTTTTTTTCGCAAAGATTTTTCTTTCTCGGAAGTAATTAAGCGGGCGATGATTATGAATATTTATTATGGACGCTTTATACTTTGTTTATGATGTCAAAAGTGAATTTTTGATCTTTTGTTTAATACTAAAATAACAATTTGCGTCTACAAAACATACAACAATAATTGCATTGATTAAATAATTATGTTAAAAACATAATTATTGTCTAATTTATTACTCTTATGAACTCTGCTCAATTTAAAATTCGCATAAGACAATCCTTCGAAATTCGAAAATACAAAAATAATTCATAAAGAAGAAAAATATCGGCTAGTACCGATAATAAAAATTCTGCCAGCATCAAAAGAACCTGGGGATGACATAAACCGTGTAATGAACGACTCTCGCCTTCTGGTCCGCGAGGTTTGCGAATACGAAGCCATTTTAGTAGATCCCCGCGCGTCAGAGAGGGCGGTCGCGTCGCTCCTTGCAGATTTTGCCGCCAATTTTACGACAATTGTCTGTAGCGTGTTTGAATTCGGTGAAAATTTTAATGCATTTAACTTAAACTTTAGACAGTTAATTACTAAGTAGTTAATAAGTATGTCGGTGTAAATAGTGGCTGTAAAAGAAAATGTCGTAATAATATAAGCATATTATATTAAATACATAAATAAATAGTGTCAGTGTTTGCGTGCTCAATAAAACATGAAAATCGACTTAGCAAATAGAAAACAATGATAATTAAAAAAAAACGTTTTGAAGTGACAAAAATATCGAATGATGTTAAAGATTAGAAATGTTAGGGACGTGAGTGTTATACTGTCATGAATAGGTTTGACAATTCGTCGAAACAAGATAAAAATGACGACCATGACACACGAGGGAACTGTACGAAGCAAAACAAAGTATTGGGTGAGTTTTTTGTAAATGTAATTACATCTACAATAATTACTTTAAGGACATTATTGAATAATATATAGAAATAAAGAAAGGAAGTAAAAACATTTATTTGAATATTAGCACACAAAACAAAGATTAAAAAAAAATAAAAATACAGATATATAAACAAAATACTAATAATGAACTTAAAACAATAGAGATCAGAACAAAAAATATCTCGTTGAATGATTTTTATTTCTATTTATTTATTTTTTTGACGGCTTCGTTGGCTGAATGGTCGCAAGTGCGACTGCCGGGCAAGGGGTCTCGGGCTTGATTCCCAGGTCGGGCAAAGTATTACTGGGTTTTTTTAAAAAAAATCTCAGTAGTAGCTCGGAGCCTGGAATTGTGCCCGGTATATGGCAATAGACTCACTCCCTATTATATGGGACTCATAACATAAATAGTGAAAAATGGGTGTTACATTGTACAGTGGCACTAGTGCCGTAATGTACACCTTTGCCTACCCCTTCGCGGGTAAAAGATGTGATGTTATGTTATGTATGTTATTTATTTTGGGGCCTTTATCCACATGGATACGACAACTCCATTGTACCTTCTTAATTGTAATTCCACTATCTGAAGTAATAACTAAATTAATTTAATTGAAAAACAATCATTTATTAGGTATTTTCGCTAATCTACTTAGTGTTACTGATAACTTAGATATATGACTTGTCAAAGTTGTGTACTATCGATGAATGATTGTCAATGACTTTTTATTCGGACTTATAAAAGAAAGAAATTAATTACTAACAGTACAATAACAACTAGACTAGGACTTTATGATCTACGGCGAGCACGGGTGACTCGCTACCCAATCAGAGGTTTTATTTAGTACGAGTTTGTTGTACGCTTTATGTAATCGCGTACTCGTTTCGAATACTTTAAACGTAAATCAAATCGTACTAAGACCTCAGAACCAGACCCGAGCGTACGGCGGCGCGGCGCGTTCCGCGCGCGTTCAAGGAGCCATCAGTCAGACCACCACATATGGGGCCCAATAGGGCTGATGCCGATACGAAGCCACGGAGGACTTAATGGGCTCGAAGTGCAGGAGTAGGAACGGAGTGGTTTTTAGACAGTAAGAGTCTGACACTCCCTCCTGCCTGACCCAGAGGGGAGCAGTCATTCGATGCTTTTCCCCCCTTAAAAAAAAAACTTTGGAAATAAGGTCTATAATATAGTTAGTAGAGAGCGGTCACCGGTGACCGCTTGGGGATGTACGGGTCACACACAGCTAGAATTAACCCTTATTCAAATATTGGGAAATTATTTCCCACTTGACAGTACCGAAAAAAAAAACCATTTGATTAAGGGTTAATTACTTCCCAATCCGATCCACTAATTCCGAACCCAATACATTTGCCTCTAGATTACATCTGACCACAATCTCTCTAATTATTTACAGATTACACCATCCTAAATCAGGAAGATTTAGTCACGGAATACAAAACGTGGACGTATAGGAAGCTCCACCATTGGACCCTAATTATCGCATTATATGGCTCCCTAATTATCTAATGCCATGATAATGTAGTCTTTTGTTTTATTTACAAAAAGGACTGCCAACTCATGGGGAATGGTTGTTGAACATGAAATCTTGGGATGGGTTTAGGGATTTTCAGTGTTTTTGGTTTATGAAAATTCTCTGTTTTATACTCCTAACATCATTACGCATAGGGTATAACATTTATAAAGTATATTATTTTATATTTTAGAAGCGAATACAATAGAAGAACATAATAGTAGTCTCTATTAAGATCCTAACACTATTCACAATGATCTTTTAAAATATATGCTAAAAATGACAAAACATTACATCACTCCTTTTATCTGCCAAGGGGTGGGCACTTGGGCAGAGATAAATAAGTTAGTTAAATAAATAAATAAACTCTTACTCTTGCTCTTAAAATTACTACATTATAACTTAGATCTAATAGAATACAATTAAAAAATCAATTTCTCTAGATAGGTACAGGTTAAAACCCAGAAACGAGTTTGTCCAAAAAATTACTTGAGAAACGGTACACTTCTCAAAATAAATGTCTTTTATCAATGTATCGTGCAAGCGGCCAAATCTAACTCACAATTGATGAACGAGTAAAATGAAATCGATATCGCCAGAAACTATTTGATCTTCAATCTTATTTAGTTATACCATTGTTCGACCCTCCACGCCTTTCTCATTATTTACTATAATGGAGAAATAATTCTTGATCTAAAGGAAAATTAGCTAGAAGATCGGTATAGCTATTAGTTATGCTATTCGACCCTTGGGCTATAATTGCTAGGACTGTGTGAGAAGGGTTGTCGTTCTTATTAACTCAAGAAAATGAGCAATGCGTAGGAAAAATATGCACGGTGTACCATGAAATCTCTCAGCATATCTCTCTAAACATTTTTTTAAGGAGGGAAAATCATCAGGGTCTATTAGACTCTTACTAACTAAAAACCACCCCGTTCCTACTCCTGCGCTTCGAGCCGGAGCCCCGGTAACCCGTTAAGTCCTCCGCGGCTCCGTAAATACTAACCATATTAGTTCAAATCCATTAGGGAAAGTAGTAAGCGTAAATGGCAGAGAAAGTTCTAATAACTTCATCTATACAGATTATAGTAATCTGGAAAATATACATTGTATAAAGCTTTCGCCGTCTAATAAATAAAATTAAAAACCTTAAAAGAAAGAGTTGTCGCTAACCGAAATAATTTGAACCCATTGGGATGTCGAGGCTAATTTTAAACATAACTTAAACCACCTCTTCTTCTTTTTTATCTTTATTAATTTAGAGTCTTTTGATCCCACAAAGACTATGCCAGACCCATCATTCCCTGAACATATTAAACAAAACTTACATCAATTTAATTTTATTTCTTTTACATTAATTTAATTCAAACACCAAGCGGTCACCGGTGACCGCAACCTATTGTTCTATAATTGTGTCTACAAAACCGGTACTCGACGAGTTAAACACTACTCTTATTTTTATAATCGTGAGACATACTAAATTAACTAAAATCCCCTTACTCACGTGAGCTGCGCGACGTCGCCGCGACCGCGTACGCTGCTCATGAGAAAGAACCCCTTTGTGGTTCGAAACTAGTAGAGCTTTTCTCACTATATTCACGTGAGTAAACCGTGATTTTAGTTAACTACTCTTATTAACTATTTTATCTATCAAAGTAGCTGCTTTGGTTAAAGTCTGTGTCAATATACTTTGAAAAAAGCCAACATTTACTAAATTACTTTTATTTTCAATCTGTTTTCTCCCAGCCCTCGTTCTGATACATTCCTCCTCCAGTGGTGGACATCCTCCATGGTGCCACATTCTTCAAAATTAATGTTTTTAAAACCATTACTTAATATTATTTTACTCCTTGAACTACTTCAATAATCTCACTTTTCACTTCCTTCTTATGTCGTGTATTAACTACCAGAGCGTTAATGGAATCCTACAGACCGTTTCCTCCATTTCTCCCATTTTCGCCTTTGATGGCTGCTAATTGAATTATTATGTGAGCTTTATTGCATTCAGACTATTGTCCTACTTTACATCGAATATTGTTCTGATCAAAGTTAATATTTTTGTCAAATGGATCAAAGATTCATAAATTAAAATTAACTGTTATGAAAATCAAAACTTTTCTAAGTTATTTTCTTTCTCTCTCTAAAAAGGTCGTTCTTTTCTCTAGCTTCGAAGATTGGCAATGAATGTAGACCTTTATCTATATTCAAATTCATAATAATTATACGTATTTTTTGTTTAATTTACTATTTCAGGTTCACAGCTGCTATTATCTAACTATGCCTTGCCATGTTACATGTTTAATTAAATTTTACATTACGTTAATGACACATATAAAAGAAAACTCTATTTATGCAACCAACAATCCACATTTCTTACAATTTTTATTTTCTTTTAAAGCCCATCTTTATTGCTTCCGTCTTAACCCATACATCGAAGGCTGTACCTTCCCCAAGTATTATAAAGTCCTCAAAAAGTTCCAGCTCTTCAAATTTTATCCTACTTAAGACGCACCGAAATGCGTAACAAGGGCAAGGAATTTAACTTTTCTTGGAGTTTAATGGCGTATCCTATAATATGTTAAAATTTGAAGCTTATGCGTATGAAGAGAAGGGACTCCTTTTAATGATATGTATAAGAGAGAGATACTCGTTAATTGTTGTCAGTTTTCCTTGTGTAAGAGAGGTTTCTATTATTATTTCTATTATCGTTGATCAACAAAAAATATCTGATCATGATAAATTAGAAAATTAAGTTCTCTCTTCTTTATCATAATTCTCATCTTCAACAAGAAGATGAACTAGTGTTCGTATATAAGATATAAGATGGTGTTCTGACTGATGAGAATACAAAACTATTATATTACGTCTTGTATCTCAAAATTATATTGTTCCATACTTCTAAGAGAATCAGGTATAATTACTATGGATATATGTATGTAGATAAGTCACGTCTCTATTCTATGGAGGTAATTAGCCACGGTACCATGTCTCAATACCTCTACATCTATTGCGAGTTTCTTCATATATTCACCTGGTGATTCTGCCATCCTTATTGCGCTTCATACAACTGTCAACCTAACCTATTTCCAAGACTTCTATTCCTTACATGTTAATCTATTTAAACTGTCAAACACCAAGCGGTCACCGGTGACCGCAACCTATTGTTCTATAATTGTGTCTATAATGACGGTACTCGACGAGTTAATTCTTTTTAACCTTACAATCTAAAATTCCAATCCAAACTGGAATTTTTATCTTAAGTGTCGAGAAAATGCGTAAACACAAACGGAATGGGTACAAAATGTACAACATGTTCTGTCGTAATGGCGTTCTGTGCCGCCATTTTGGATTATTACCACTGCAGTGCTTTTCAGCTCTTTCTGTCAAACGAATTGCTGGGGAATGGTGTTTCTTGTCTCTTAGTGTTGTTGTTTTGTTTTTGTAT